ATTTAATTAGATTAATTTATTTATTATCAATATTGTTGAAATAAAAATTATAATTTTTAATATAATTTAGTATATATATATATATATAAATCTTATGTCAAACAAAAGTCTAATTGTAAATTAAAATTTTCAATAATATTTAATTACTATATATACATAAACTTTAGATCACGTGGGATTAAGCGCGAGTATTATTATTACAGTATTACTTCTTTCCACGTATCCGGTGGGCGGTGATAGTTTCACCAGGCTTGTTGACCGAGTCAAATGAGCCACCAACCGCCATGGAAATTTCCACACCACATCCTTCTCGAAGTCGGAATCCCATGACCTCTCACTTAAAATCGCCCAAACTTGATCAAACCTATATAATCATCTCTGGTTTTCGCAAAACAAAGAGTTGCAGAGAAGAGAAGAGAAGAGAAGAAAACGAAACACAGTAATTTCGATTTTGAATTTTTCCGATCAGTAAAGTTATGGAGGCTTCCGATATAGCGAGGTTGAAGGCGGACTGGCTCGATCGGAGCGTCAACTGGAGCAAATACTCCACCTACGACGGCTCCTACGATCCCCGGACTTTCAGCGGGAAGCTCGACGATCACGAGATGGAACTAGTGAAGATCGACATGATGACATACAGGCTAGCCAGGTTGCGCGCGGAGACCACGAATCGTGACTTCTGTGAGGTTCGACTGGAGGTGGAGATGGAAGTGATGGTCGAGCTCGCAAGGATTCTGGCGGACACTATCGAGCCGGCGTACAGCGGGTCGCTGGCGACGGTGGTGGAGGAAGAAGCGGTGGTGTGCGCGGTGTGTCAGGATGAGATGAAGAAGGGGGAAGAAGCGAGAGCGATGGGATGCAAGCACTTTTTTCATCCGCTCTGTATTATCGAGTGGCTGAGAAGGAAGGAGACTTGTCCTCTGTGCAGGTACCAGATGAAGCCTAAAGAATTTGATGTGACAAAGATGCGAGATTGATTGAAGATTTGAAACCGTGGAGAATTAGGGTTTTCCCTTCATTAGTTTTAGACCGATAGATTGAGAGAAGCGATACATACGCGCAGAGACGGAGGTCAACAATCATAGTCCTTGGCGGTTGACTTTCTTG